ACATGACATGATATGACATAACATAACATAACATAACAATATAACATAACATGACAATATAACATGACATGATATGACATAACATAACATAACATAACAATATAACATAACATGACACGGCATGGCATGACATAGCAATATAATAACATAACAATATCACATAACATCACATGAAATGACATGACAAGACATGAAATGACATGATATGACATGACATAACATAACAATATAACATAACATAACAATATAACATAACATGACACGGCATGGCATGACATAGCAATATAATAACATAACAATATCACATAACATCACATGAAATGACATGACAAGACATGAAATGACATGATATGACATGACATAACATAACAATATAACATAACATAACAATATAACATGACATGACAATATGACATGACAAGACATGACCTGACATATCATGACATAACAATATAACATGACATAACAATATAACATGACATAACATGACATAACATGACATAACATGACATAACATGACATAACATGACATAACAATATAACATAACAACAATATAACATAACATAACAATATAACATAACATAACAATATAACATGACATGACAATATGACATGACAAGACATGACCTGACATATCATGACATAACAATATAACATGACATAACAATATAACATGACATCAAATGACATAACATGACATAACATGACATAACATGACATAACATGACATAACATGACATAACAATATAACATAACAACAATATAACATAACATAACAATATAACATAACATAACAATATAACATAATATAACATAACATGACATAACAATATAGCACAACATAACAATATAACATTACATAATATAACATGACATCACATGACATAACATGACGTAAAATAACATAACATAACATAACAATATAAAATAACATAACAATATAATATTACATAACATAACAATATAACATAACAACATAACATAACAACATAACATAACATAACAATATAACATAACATAACATAACATAACAATATAAAATGACATGACATGACATAACATAACAATATAACATAACAATATAACAATATGACATGAAATGACATGACAAGACATGACATGACATAACAACATACCATAACAACATAACAACAACATAACATAACAACATAACATAAGAACATAACAACATAACATAACACAATGACATAACATAACATAACATAAGAACATAACATAACAATATAACATAACATAACAATATAATATAACATGATAAGACATAACATAACAATATAACATAACAACATAACATGACATGGCATGACATGACAATATAACATGACATGACATGACAAGACAAGACATAACAATATAGCATGTCATGACATAACATAACATAACAATATAACATAACAATATGTATTAAGATGTCATGACATAACATAACATAGCAATATAACATAACAGTATAACTTAACATGACATGACATGATATAACATGACATAACATAACTTAACAATATAACATAACATAACAAAATAGGATAACATGACATAACATAACATGACATGAAATAACTATAAGATGACATGACATGAAATGACATAACAATATGACATGACATAACATGACATAACATAACATAACAATATAACATGACATGACATGAAATAACATAACATAACAATATAATATAACATAACATAACATATAACAATATAACATGACATGACATAACAATATAACATATAACATGACATGGTATGGCGTGGTATGACATAACAACATAACATAACATAACATAACAACATAACATAACATAACATAACAAAACAATATAACATAACATAACAATATGACATGTCATGACATAACATAACAATATAACATAACAATATAACATAACAATATAACAATATGACATGAAATGACATGACAAGACATGACATAACAACAATATAATGACATCATGACATGACATAACAATATAATATAACATGACAATATAACATGACATGACATGACATGACAATATAACATGACATGACATGACATGACAAGACATAACAATATAGCATGGCATGTCATGACATAACATAAAAATATAACA